TGGGTTGAAATTTATATGTTGTGTAGTTAGTAAGCAGTTGAAATATACCATTTGGTGATATTGCTGCTAAAAACACGCGACCCGATGTTTCATATATTTTGGTCAGTCGCTGAGGGCAACAAAACAATTGTTTGGCCTAAGGTATAAACCTGTGGTTACTTTCTGATCAAAAACATGTCAAAAACTCTTTTACATCAGAATTTCAATTATTTTGTTGGGCTTACAATGATAAAATCGGCTACCATGATGGACGTCATTTTGAAACGATTTAGTGAAAAGACGGTTATTTCATTTCATAAATAATAATTTATGCACATTAGATGTTTTCTTCAGCGAATCATATTATATCTCTTTCCCCCTTGATAAAACTGTGCATGCTCGGAAACTATTACGTGACGTGAAAATGTTTTGCGGCGGGCTTTATAATCGCGTACGATACTTATATTGTATTATATGATATTTATTCAAGGATTGTGCATTAAAATTAAACAAATATTCAAAAAATAACACATTTCAAACACTATAGTCGTCGCACGGCGTTCTGTTCTATATGGAACTCATATCAACGCATACAACGTGTGTTAAATACATTGTTTGTTTACATGAAATTCGTAGACACGCTCCGATGACTCCGATGATAGCATTTTAATACAGGAAAAGACAAAATTCTATCAAAAACCTGAAACACAAAATAATTTGTGTTTTACCTTCCAACCTCTTTATTGGTCAAACCCATATTTTTTTTCTATAAAGTCCTTCACAGTAACGCATGAAGGCATAATAATTCTATTCAAGGGTAGTATTGTAACACTGATTCGTTCTTATTTCCCCCGCCACGTCATATCAATCATTCGTTACAGTGACCAAAACACTACGATAAAGTCTTTCCGTTTTCAACATTGTGGCATTCTTTCGTTTTTATGACAGAAAAATGCAGTATTTTTGCCGAGTAAAATCAGAGTTATTAAAGTTATTGTTTATACATGAATCGTTGAATACGTTACACATTTTGCAATTTCATTCAACTGCTTTCTAGTCGTGGAATATCTATATTATAATATAATATTTTACAAACCTTCCTTATGTGAAGATTTCACTACTATGAGACTTGCGCACTGCAACAAAGATCTATGTATTGTTCCATATATATATACAATCTTCATGCTGTTACATATTAATTCGAACTATAGTATATTTATTTTTCAAAGAAAAATAGTAATTCTGAATGTGCACAAAAAGCCCATACATTTCACTGTACTATCCCTACTACTATATACGCTTTGTCATTACGCTACTGTAACATACAGTCTGGCTTTGTGCACTTGTTCGCCGAATCAATAAAATCGATACCAGAGATCCCATTTATAAAGTTGTGAAAACTCATGCCCATGATACTCTCCGTATTTGATATTCTTTTAATAATGTTCAATACTGTCCACTGTTAAATGACTGTCACATTAGACAAAGAGATTGCATGCAATGGCTGACTTCATTCAGAGTTCAAAGTACAAATATATTAATGATATGCAAATTATGAGGGATTTTTTTTTATTCAAATTTAACACATTTTTGTCCTGAGAATTGAAAGTTATCCCTATACCACCAGGCCACCGTACCCATAGGCCCACATTAGTGGCACATCATTTATAGACAATGAACATCATATTGATTTAGTGTTACGGATAAATGCTGGTAGTTTGTAATAACCTAGTTAGACGAAACATTCACAGAAAGACTAAACAGGTGTGTAATAATCTTTGCTTTATCTGATGTTCAAAACCCTCAGAGGTAAATGATGCGATATTTGATCTGATATATTTCCGATCCTTGTGCGATGCGATTGGTCACTAACTCTCATGGTTGGCGGGAAAAAACGCATATATATATATATTTGCTGACTCTAAGATAGTATCATGATTTATATTTCGGTTTAATAGTGGTTGCCATGGCATCTACTGATAACGGTTAAATGATGAGGCCAGTCGGCTTAATAGTGGTTGCCATGACATCTACTGATAAAGGTTAAATGATGAGGCCAGATGACGGAACTGGTCGGGACCAGACGACACATTCTCATCAGTTTGCGATTTAAAGCTTATGCGGTGCTTTGGTCGTAGATCAAGACTAATGATGTTTGCTATTTCAAGCTTATGCGATGTCTTGGTTGTAGTCCAGAACGAATGATGTTTATTGATGTCAACTGTGGAATGTTATTGCAAGACCATTAGTACCCATAAATATAAACTGACGTTGACAATATGATAGTGATTTTCCTAATATAGTGACGATTAATCAATTGTATTATGATGTGTAAAACTTTCGTGTGATTGGCTGTGTGTTTGGGGGCAACGCCCCAAAGTCTCTTATACAGTATTGTAATTGGCTAATGGTTGACAAGTAATAAAAGTGATTTGAAGCTGTCTCGGGAAGAAAGGAGAGGCAGTAGAGAATCGAATTTGACACGAATCGAGCTTGTGCGTGTGTTTTTTGTGAGTCTAACGTGGGGAACAATCGAATCCTGGTTACCTAAGTGAAAGGTTTCGACACATCAAAAATACCTATCACATAGATCCAAGTTTGAAGTTCGGTGGCATAAAACAACGCAGCGGCGAAGGCACACAGCCAGTCGAAACTTCAAACAAGAATTCAGAATGTGACAATAATTTAAGATTTTGTGTAATGCAAATAGTCGAATGCGAAAATATTGGATATAATTTGATTGTGGCAGAGACATGGGGAGTAATCATTTTAAATTTACATTGCATAATTATATTACGTATAATTTGATCAGTTTCAGTAAAATCTGTGTACGTTTGCTTGCAGTGTATTCAGGTTCAGCAAAATGCATCTCACAGTGATATTATTTGGGTATTCTATACCATAATTCTATAAGAAAAATACAATGGGATTCAAAAAAAGGAAAAACTAAAACTGTTTCTAGCTAGTCGTAAGCCAGACTGAAGTTTTGGGGATGGTCCATAAACAAATATTAATCGTGATGACTGGTTTGAATAATTTATGGTTTATTTTAACTTGTAGATTCTAGATTCACTCTCCTCGGTTATTAGTTAACACAGTATTTGTTTGAAGATGTGTACAGCAACGGTGGAGCCATTAAGTGTATTGCATCGGGATAAATGTATCGAAATTTTTGCAGTGGACATTACAAAGGGTATGTGCACGTTTTTCAGTGTACAGACTTGTTTTGGGTGGGGCAGGCAGACTAAGTATATACCACACTAGTGGGGAAGTTTGAAAGCATTGTCCAAACGCCTTTTACACAGAGCATTGAGTTGCTTGAATAATGAATTGAAACGGTCACATTGGAGAAAAATATGTAAGAGGTCGTTAACATTTTCACAGAATGTACATATATTGCTGTCATTGTTTGTAAAGGGGGTATTAAGTGTGACAGGGTCATTAATGAACCTTAGATCAATATTGTATCTTGTATCTGTAAGTATAGCCTGGTTGTGTGTCAGAAAGTTATTTATCAATTTTATTGATGAATGATTGTAGGATGGATTCACGAATCATTTTAAACATTTGTTCCAGTATTCCGTCGAGTAAACTGAAACGACTGATTGTAAATCATCAGGTGTAACCATCTTCTGTTTAATGATCAATCAGATAATTTACTGTTGCGATGTTTGCGTCAACAAATGTCTGACATGTTAGAGGCTTGTCGTTTGTACAATGTAAAATTATATTATTGTTAAAAATAGGCTCATTAAAAATATCCATGACAGACACAGGTTCGCCTACACGAACAGTATTAAAGCTTTTCCACGTGGTTAAAATATTGTGTCTTGACAGGGAACATAAGGCACATTTATAATAAAAAGTTGTTTTGAAAATTGTTGATCAACTGTATGTTTTAAAAACATAGTCTGGAAGTCTGAAGTACGGATGTCCATTATCAGAGCAGAGACATCTCTAAATGTACTGTATTCTAAAAGTTTTAATCCGGCTTGATATACGAACCATGCCATGTACTGCTAAAGAAGAATGATTCCAGTCGACTGTGTACTGAGTGGGCATAGATGGATCAGTAACATTGAGTGTACTGTTTACTGAACAAATGCAAATGAGACAGTCCAGTCTAATGTTAACTCAGTAAACACGCATGGGGTAGTAACACAGAGCTCAATCTACTGTCTATTGTGTGCACATAGATAGGGAGGAAACTTGTAATTCACTGCTTACGGAGTAAACATGAATAGGACAGTTATACATGGAGACCAGTCACCGTTTAACTGAGTGGCCATAGATGTGATAGTAAAGTCACATTCAGTTCAACGTATGTTTACTGAGTAACCACTAACAACTGGGGAATGTTATTTCATAGGTTTGTATAAAAGAGGTTTAGCATGTGCCATGGCAACTGATCAAATTATTTTGCAAATGATTCTTGCATATGAACTTTGTTTGGTTTGACTTGAATGCAGATTTGAATTCATATAAATAGTAATATAATTGTAATTTTTATCATATTTAAATATGATGACATCACTTCACAATTGTAACCAGTAAAAAAGTTGTTTTCCATTTGTTATGTCAGTCTTGTCATAAATACTGACACGTGACACTTTTGAAACGTACATGTATGATTCTATTGTACCTTTCTCACATTTTACCGTGTGTGAAATTATTTGGTAATAATTGATAGTGAGTTCAGTATTCCAAGAATAAAAATACAAAATTACTGACAAAACAATCGTTCGATTATATGTTTTTTTGTTAAATCAAAAAACAACATGGACATATTAGATAGAGAAGACAATTGTTAATTTTTATTTTAAAATTAATTCGTGCCCCGGTAAACCTTAATAGGCTTAATGCATTTTACTATTTCATTTGCACAATAGTTCACATAAGACACATTCATAATTCATATTCAGCGTGCTAGGTATAGCTCTCAATTGGTGTGCATACGAGGTAACAGCTTGGTAGCGTAATTTCAAATAATAATATCATTTGTGCACGGATACACTAGCAATATGAGTGTGTTGTCGTACAAAATATACTCTCTATTGATGTTCTCTATTGGGTTCATAACTGCCTCTGTTATTCATCTTCATATGTTTTCACCTCCTGCAAAGAAACACGAAGACACCAGAATGAGAGCAGAACAGTTCGTGCCAGATAAGAGATCCGCTAAAGAGTGTGAATCAACTGTTGGTGCAGAATGGATAAAATACACAACCCATCCTAATGTACCCACATTAAGTGATGCCAAACTGTTGATGGATATGAATCGTTATCGTGCAAAGTGTAACTGTCCTACGCCACCGTTTTGGTATAAAGCAGCCAATGAACGCCGTCTCAAGGAATCTATATTATGGAAAAATGAAATGGATACAAAGAGAGCTCCACTAGCAATTTGTAAGGCATTTTCTCCTTTCATTTACGTCAGTTCTGGTATCACAGTTGAACCATTCAACACAGTACCGATTGTTGGATTGTCCCTCTCCCCTGCAGTAGAACACATTTTAAAACAATCGAACATGTCTCAACAAGTTATTCTGTATATCTCTGCTGTAAATAATTACGGTATATTTACAATGTCTGATGGCCCTCAATATGATGGTATTATTGATGGTAGTAAAACCTCTTCTCTTAAGATTAATGTACTCGGTAAAGACGTAAATGAAATCAACAATCTCTTGAGTAAAGTCATTTATACTGGTACTGTATATCATATTGATGCTTATGACAAGATTCAAGTTTCATTTCTCAATTTCACAATCGATATTAATCTTCACATCAAACGCCCACCATTACCAGATCTCATTGATCCAGGAGCATCTGGAAGCGTCATTGAGAAGCTCACTGTTATTACCAAGACTTTTGAACGCCCGGATGTTGTGAAACGATTTGTGGATAAAGTTCATCATTTCTACCCTAATATGACTATCATTGTTGCGGATGATTCACAACAACCAATACCAATAAAGAAAGATCATGTCAAATATTATACAATGTCATTTAGAGACGGCAGTTACCCGGGAATTAATCTTGCATTGTCACAAGTGGAGACAAAATATGTACTTTATGCAGACGATGATTATGTGTTCACAAACGAGACAAGACTGGAATTGATGCTTGAAAAACTTGAAAATCCACTTTCTAATATCGATATAGTAATCCCTCACGTCATTGGTCTACCTCTTTTAGGGGCCATGTGGAAATTTGCATATAATGAGAGTGGGACCTGCTTTGTCGATTACTGGCACGTAGGAAAAGACAAATTGGTGGTTCCAGGATACCCACAATGTCGTTATGGGGACATGTTCGAGAATTTTGTGATGGGCAAGACAGTTTTATTTCGAAAAATCGGTTACTATCCTTCTATAAGGCCTTGCACGCATGCTGAATTCTGGGCTAATGCCATTGGAAAAGCCCGCTCTGCAAAATGTGTTGACGTCATTGTATCACATGACCACGTTCGTAATCCTGTGTACAACAAATTTCGGAATGAAGCATATCAAATTGAGAAAAAACAAGACCCTGCCCCATTATTTGAAAATGATCTGTGTTATTCAAAATTTTATGATTTCAATTTTAAGAAAGAAGATATACTAGCACGTTAAGTAATTGTTTATTTCAGTGAATTCAGTAAATGTATGCTAAATGTTTATACTTTCTGTGCATGTATTATATGTATATTGTTATAATCGTGACTTAGATAGATGTTCAGCTTGTGAATGCACTTGTTAAACCAGAAAACATGTATTGTGTTGTATCAACTATTTTCATTATAACCGTGAAATCGTAGATGCAATATTATATATTTTGTTGACTTAGGTCAGATTATGTCAACAAAATAGTGAAAAAGACATAACAAGGATAAATGTTGTATTTGAAACGACAATGGAAAGTAGACACGTAATTCCCACTCTCAATATTCACTCAGTATACATTTCATTGAATATTTTATCTGCTACTCTTTTCATTCAGTATAGTAACTTTAAGTTTATGTGTAGATAATTAAAAATTAAATAACAATATCTAAATTTTAATATTTCATTATGTGTAAACATACTAAATTGGATCTGCTGCTACCATCGTATTATATTTTTGGTGCAGAAAGCGTGTAAAATATCTATTGCATGGTATTGTGTCCTCTATGCTACATCATACCCATTAGTACTGAGGTAATTTAAACATTTAATAAGAAACGCGACTCTATTGGTCGAATCCCATTGCAAATATGCAATACAAACATGGGGATACGCATTTGTAGTTTCATGGGTTTCAATTGTTGACAACTATGCTCAATCAATCATGGGAGTGCTGAAAAAAAATACACATAAAAAAATACAATAAAAAATATGCCTGGGTGGATTTGCTTTTAATTATTTAAAAAAACAACAACTCAGTACCATGAATACTGATTGTTGCGCCTCTGGCAGATACGTTGATTGAAACTATGAAGTACATCTGTATATCAGTTGTTATTATATTATTTGGAGCAAAACATATTACTTGAGCTTGAGCAAAACTTTACTCATGTGTCCTAGATACGTCCGCAGCTCCAGGTTGCTGATACCTTTGTGAATAAACTCTCAATTTTGCCTGTATTTAATTTATTTGAATATGTTAATGTCATCGACAAACATTCAAATTTAATTACCTAGATCGTTGATATAAACCACTAACAACCTGGACCCCGAGCACTGCCTTGTGGAAAAAAAACTAGCTAAATAATCATTCAAATTTACCATATATTCCAAGATACCACAACTCTAAATTGTTATCACAATCCGTCTAAAACGGGTTATAATTTCTAGTGTGAATAGAAGTTTCTTTTCATAAATATAAGTTGGTCATTATTACAGAACATGTAACAAAAGATGATATAATTGTTATGACAGCGCCATCTTGAAACGTTGTTATGCGGGACTGTGGTTGCATACAACTAGACATGGCAGATGCTGCAACACATTCGATCAATTATGTATATGCCAGTAGTGTACAGATGTATCACCCTATGTATAGTCATGTGTAAATAACATTGAATCTACCAGTCAATCGATGGGAACATGTGGCACCGTCGTCTATTATTATTAGGGTTTCAACCAACAACAGCACAAACAACATCAGACATGCACTGAGAAGCAAATATAATGTTTTTGTTTCGATTATTACCTGCGCAGTGCGATGGTAGGGCGTTCGGTGCTAATGTATATATGTATGCACCCTAGCCAGCCAGCCAAATTTATTTCGGCCGTCGCCTTACCATTGTACCTTGGCAGAACTCCCATAATAAGCCTTTATTCACTTATCAAGCATCCGAGTCATAATTATTCAGCGATTACTCATAATTACAAGTGTATTGCTGACAGAAACTGGTGAAAAAAGTTTTTCGTTTTGGTCAAGAACTCCGAACCGTTCGTGTAAACTCGATTAGACAATTTATCTACAAACATATTGAGCAATTGAATATGACTACCAGGTTCAAAAGCAAACAAGTGGGGAGTAGGAACTACTCAATTGTGCATCAATATTTGTTTCCAAAACAAAACAAAATTATGCCCTTATTAAAAGGGGAGCATTGGTGAGTGTAATACATTCGCAAATTTCCTAAATGGTTCCAAACTCATAAATCACAACCACAAACCTTTTTGGACAAATGAATTTGAATGAGCTTTTACCTAGAATGGAGCGATTTTGAATTAGACGATGAGATACTATTTAGGTATATTTCATGTGCCTGGCAAAGATCTCATTATATCAGATGCTTTGTCCAGTCATCCTTGTAAACAAAGAAAATAAACAACTGTGGAGGGTAGTTAAATTGTATGCTTCTTATTTCGTAAGTCAAATTCCAATCTTACTTATCTAGGTGAGACGGTGTAGTGATGCGTGATATGTTGTAAATTGATTAAGTTTTGTAAATAAGGGTGGCTAAATGGCCAGTTACTGATAGGTACTCTGAAATGCATACTGTCTCTTCCAGGCAGACATTATTTATGTTGATAATATCTGGATGAGAGGGTCTAGAATTATTACCCCTAGCTTAAACAAGTTAGATGTTTTAGATATTTTAAATGAAGGTTACCAGGGCAATGTTAAGTAGAGAGAGAGAGAGAGAATTCCCTGAACGGCCATATCAAAAAGTGGCTGTATAAGAATGATATATATATAACCTATATGGAATACCCGATGAGTTCAGATAATTGGTCCAAATTTGCTAGAAAATATAGGTATAATGCTGTGACTAGTGGTCCTGCATTGAACTGACTGTCAGTACAGGTGAGCAGTTCATTAAAAAACAAGTGGATTGCTACTTGGCATCAATGGCATATCTGACAACCTCATTATCTAATGGATATGGCCCAGCTGAAATGTTATTTGATCATCTGACCCGGACAGGTCACATTGTGCTAGGAATATGCCTGAAATAAATCAGGAACATAAATTCTGGTTACGAACATGCAGTCGAATGATGAGGTTCTATGAAAATTGCACCTAGGTCTTATGATATAACTATGTCCCACAGGGTGATTTGTAGAAATAAAAAGCATTTAGCTCCATGCAGTCATGGGGCGGATATTCCACTGCGGTTTGTGGTAAATGTCATTTCTTTTGATAGTACTGTATTCCCTTGAAGGTAGTAGCAATTATTATAATGTAATTGGTTGTCAATTTTATTGGCTTCAAAATGTGTTAATGTTCTTTCTTGACCTTCTTCGTATGTTTCTATTGTTCAGAAATTTGTACTATTTTGGGCGTTTTGCTTGAAAGATGGAAATATTTATCGAGTTGAGTAAAAACGTACCACCCAATCTCTACATTACATGTACATGCAACTAACATACAATGTCCTATTTATATGCAATGGATAGTAGGAGTACGTGGTACCATCGTCTACATTATCATTAATACCCAAACGGATAGGTTCAAAATAATAATAATACCACCATAAATACAGTTTTATTATTTGGATTTCAGACAGCAACAACACCAGCAACTTTGAAAGCATGTGTCATAAGGCCCGCTTATCGCAATTGAGAGGGCCACCCACAGAACTCACACCGGATAGGAGGGTTCTTTCTCTCCTAGAATAAGGTAGACAAGACAATAGTACTAGAAATGAAATACACATACACCAAAACATCGAGTTAAATCTCCTGACTGTAATACCTCTCAAAATAATTACAAAGCTTTGTATTTGTTTTCAGCATTGTATGCAGTTTTTCTGAAGCGTTATGACATGAATAGAAAAGGTTATAGAAAGAGATTTCAAACTAGTAGGGCAGAAGGTGGAAAGCGCATTTCGCAAATTGCAGCTAGACTAAGTAGTTATTCGACCGATGTGTATAGCTGTCTGAAGTTGATAATAGTTTTGAAGGAGCTAAGGACTTAGTGATGAGAGATCAATTGATGGGTACTTTTGGTAATGCGTTGCCTATTTTCATAGGAGAAAGGTCACCAAAGTCAGTTAAAGAAATGGCTGACTTAGCTGATAAGTAAACAGACAGGTGTCAAAAATCTGAAATCTAGCCAGTTTCAATGTCATAGTCAGAAAAGTCAGTTCTAGAGCACAAGTCAGAAAGGAAAAGGTCGATTTGGCCAGTATAAGCCAGGCTGTGGTGATCCAAATCACTCTGCTGTCAGTTATCCTAAGCATTACAAAAGTTCCAAGCCTCAGGTTAAGTCAGCTGCTATGTTGGCATGTAATCAGAATAGTAAAGATTCACAGGGAATCAGTACTACTTGTGTACTTCATAAAGTCACAGATGCAAATAGGCATCCATGTTTACTGGGACAAGATAGAGTTGGGTTGAAATATGGCCAATTATTAGTGTTGTCAGTGTTGCACCAGTTAATAGGATAGTGAGTGGTATGCCTGTTGTCCAAGGCTTTATTGGCAGTACTAAGGCAGAGGTTCTACCTGATAGTGGGTGTAGTTTGGTTGTAGTACGTAGAGAGTTGGTAGAGGATAGTCAAGTGACTGGAGAGAGTCGTACCTGTATGATGATGGATGGTACATGTCAGGAAGCCCCAGTAGCTAGACTATATATAGATACACCCTTTTATGTTGGTACTGTGTATGAGAACCCCAGTGTATGATCTTATTATTGGTAACATTAGTGGAGCCCAAGGATCCTGATTCTGGTTGGAAGCTAGGTTTAGCTCATGAGCTAGGGCATGATGAGGTTAGTTCGCCCTCGAGTGATGAACATAGTACTCCTGTGAGTGATGGGACTAATATGGTGAAGGTTGTTGTCCTAGTGTTGGGACTAGTGTTCCCTTAGGTAATGAAGGCTGTACATCCATTAGTAGTCAGACTAGTGTGCCCTATATGGATGAAGGTTGTTCTCCAGGTGTTGAGATAAGAGAGCCTTCAGTTAGTGGGAGTAGTTGTGAACCCTCCATTGATTCAAGTTGTACCAGTAGTACAGACTAGGGCCCAGAAGATAGCTGAGAAAAAGCCATTACGTAGGCTTATAGTCCAGTTACATAGTAAGGTTGATACTAATGGTGGTAAGAAACTTATTACTGTAGATGCAGTGCGAGAGGCACATCAGTCTGATTCTATATTGGAGCATGTTAAGAAGTTAGTATCTACAGGAGAAGAGTTGAT